ATGCATTAAGAAGTTTCAGAAAGAAAAATCATCCCACTGCCTAAATGCAAGCCTAGTAGTTACCCCTAAGATACATTTCAAAAAGCAGAATTCAGTGCCTCCGCCAGAATCATACCATTACCACCCAAGCCTAAAAGCACTATTAGCACACATTTTTAAACACTACCTAATGGATTGATATTCAATTAATTCAATGGCATGAAATTCCTATTCAGCTTCATAAGCCAAATTGCAAGGCAGCCAAGAACAGAGGAGACGACAACAGTGATTTGGCATTAAAATGATGATTGCGCAACTAAATTTAACAAAGAAAAAGTGGGTCAAATTGAAATCAATCATCAGTACTAACAAAAATGAATGAAGCCAGTAAAAATTCAAACTTGGACATATTTTAAAGAAACATGAATGTGAGGAGCTTACTCGGTCAGAGTCGCTATCTTTCGTCATCTTCGACGGCTTCACCACTCTCTTCCCTGCAAAATCGAAGTAAATAAGAATCAAACACAAACAAACACACTGCCATAAACCCAATGAACATATGAAAATGATTAAAGACCTTTACGATTGTAGGGGATCTTCCCATGGCGATTTGGAGGAATTGTTTTCTTCTTCTGCTGGCCTTTGAACAGATTCCCTTTCTGCGTCATCTCTCCCTCCCTACTGTGTCTCTGGGTAATTATTAGGTTTTTATTATGTCGACGAGACATGCAATGTGGGCTGAGCCCATGACGTGTAAAAATGGACTTGAGAGGCCAAGCCCGACAACTAATAAATATTAAATAAATACCGTCGACAGCCCATAATTTGTTTAACGGGTCTGAATGCAGCCCAATAATAAATATCTGTTCGGGAAAGCCGACGTTTAGCCCCTAACTTTATTAAATTTGAAAGTTTTAGTCCTCACCTTATATATCATGACATTTTAACTCCTTACTTACTAAATTTATAAATTTTAATCTCTCATCTTATATTATAATTTTTTTAATCTCTCACATATTAAAATTAAAGAAAATAGTTCTCACTTTATACTATTTTGTTAGTTCTATTAGCTGACAATTAATTCTATTAATTGATTGTTAGTTAACTATTAATTGACAAAAATCTTCTTTCAACTAATAAAGTTAACAGAATTAATTTTATAATATTTCGTTAATTCTGTTAACTAACTATTAGTTGACTGTTGTTGACAAAAATTTACTTTTAACTTACAAAGTTAATAATCAGTAAAAAATAAAGATTATTTTTTTTAATTTTAATAAATGATGAGTTAAAATTTATAAATTTAATAAAATTAAAAATTAAAAATATTATAATATAAAGTAAGAAATTAAAATTTTTAAATTTGGTAAGTAGCTGAAAGTAAGTTTTTGTCGTATCTCTCTTGATCATTTTCTGGCGCGAAAAGTCGCGGGAATCTTCAATGTCGCTGAGTAGGCAACATGGTGCAATAGTAACGCACCACGTCAGCGTATCTGACGGAAACTTGAAAGACATAGATACCCCTCTGACCGTGGCTGCGTCCTTTCTGTTCCCCGAAGCAAATCATTGAGAACAGGTCAAAAAGAGTATTTGGACTGGAAATTTCCCTCCCCTTCCTTTTCTCCCCAAATCCTCCATTTCAGATCTCCGCGATTCCTTTCTCTCCCTCTGATGATTGCTCAAAGCTACTAGACACTTCCGATCAGAATCAGGCGAAAATGTGCGGGATCTTTGCTTACCTGAATTACAATGTCTCGCGTGACCGACGATACATTCTGGAGATCCTGTTTAATGGCCTGAGGCGTTTAGAGTACAGAGGCTATGATTCCGCCGGAATTTCCATCGATTCGTGCTCCGGAGATCCAAGTGGAGATGCTCCTAATTCTCTTCTTCCTCCTCCTCTCGTCTTCCGCCAAGAAGGCAATATTGAATCGCTTGTTAAATCCGTTCATAAAGGTACTTGTTCTAGTTTTATTTTATTATCGAGAGGGATTTGAAGTTGAACGACTCGAAGAAAAATGAGTTAGGTTTGGCGTCAAAATCGATCTCTGGAATGTCCTTGTCTTTTATTTTTTAAGTGCGTTCATGAAAATAACTATGAACAATTCCTTTTTTACCTAAGTTTTTCTTGAAATAATGGAGTCTTATGTTTGTTTGCGGAGAAAATTGCACAAGAGAATGTAATACTGACTTAAAGGCAGCGATCTTCTTTTCCTTTTTGGTTTCTAGGGGACGAGCACTAGCATTTATATAATGTGGTTTTTCGATTTCAGAGGTTGCGTCGACAGAGCTAAACTTGGATGAATCCTTTTATGTTCATGCCGGCATTGCTCACACACGATGGGCGACTCATGGAGAACCATCTCCGAAAAATTGTCATCCGCAGACATCTGGTGCGGGGAACGAGTTCTTGGTAGTACACAATGGAATTATTACTAACTATGAGGTTTGTTTATATATTTTATGTTGGTATTGTTTAAATTTTTAGGATATTATTATTGAAAAATATGAAACATCATTTTATGGCGTAAAAGCTGAATTTCTTTTTTTTTTTTTAATATATATATATTTATTTATCTATTTCAGGTGTTTAAGGAGACACTAGTACGGCATGGATTCAGCTTTGAATCTGAAACTGACACCGAAGTGATTCCAAAGTTAGCCAAATATGTTTTTGACAGGGCAAATGAAGATGGTAATACATTATTTCAATATGTAGTAAATGAGATGTTGTTTCCAAATTGAAACTTCTTTTATGGTATAACACTATCGAAATCCAAATTCCTGATGATTGCCTTGCATATTTTGGTAATGATGCAATATTGCAATATTCCTCAAGAAAACTTCTCTAGTAGGCAAGGTGACTTGATGGTTAGAAGATTGACTGTAGGGGCTGGTGGAGAGAATGAGATGATGCTTTGGAATTGTAATTTGTTTTATAGTATAAGTTTTTAAATTTGAATTTCGTGCTAATTGCCATGCATATCTTTGGTAATGGGACATTATTGCAATAATCCTTGAGAGTTCCTTAGTAAGCAAGGTGATGTTAGAAGGTTGACGTTAGTGCCTGGTGAGGCAAGGTAAGGTTAGAACATGAGCACATGCTGCTTCAGTTATCAAGGAACTTGAGTCCATGACCTAGGTAATTTTCTAAAGATACCAGAAATAGCAACCTAAGATCTTCAAGAAGCATACAGTGGGAAGGTTTGTAGCATTATTTATCTTGAGATAGCTGCTCTTAAAATTTTTTAACATTTTTCCTTACTTCATAAGGTACTTCATTTTAGTTTATCACCTCACTGGTCCCCTTCCCACTTCTGATAGTGCCTCAAAGCATGGGGCAACTTCTTGTCTAAGCCTGACTTCCAAAGCTTGTTACCAATTTGTAGTGGTGGATTACTCAGTTTTACTGGTTATGTTGCAGGTGACCAGACTGTCACATTTAGTCAAGTTGTGCTTGAAGTTATGAGGCATCTAGACGGAGCCTATGCACTAATATTCAAAAGCTGTCATTATCCAAATGAGTTGATTGCTTGCAAACGCGGTAGCCCATTGGTCCTAGGTGTCAAAGTAAGTTATCTTTTTTATCTGAAAACAAAAAAAATTATATCACCGTCTTTAAGCTTGTTATAATCATCTCTCTTTAAATTAATAGTGTGTGGCTTAATATATGGTGCTTTTTTTCCTTTTTCTCTTTTTTTTTTTCTACATTCATCTTGTATTTTAATGTTACATTTGAATTTTTACCCCTTTGAAACTTCTAATAAGGCACATACTGTGACAATTCACTTGTTTTATGTAGGTCAAATATACATTTACTCTTTTATATCTTGTATGGCATATTTTTATTTTCTTTAAGTAATTAATGTTATAATTGGTTAATGAAATACTTTCAGGAATTAAGTGAAGGCACAAGCACTGGAGCATCATTTCTTGACCTTAAGTTCCTTTCAGAGAATGGGCATCCAAAAGAATTTTTTCTATCCAGTGATGCTAGTGCTCTAGTTGAACACACAAAAAGGGTTTTGGTGATTGAAGATGGTGAACTAGTTCATCTTAAGGTATTGTCTACATGAGTTGAAAGTCTTGTTGTCTGTTTATGTTTTCCGTATCTTTATTCTCTAGAATAATCTTTGTGCATTTAGGATTGTCAATATGATGCTGTTTTTTCTATCTGTTTGATCTTTCTATCAGTCTCACTTTTCTCAATAGATTAATGAAACATGTCCCAGCCTTCAAGTCTTCTACCATCACAGTTTTGCTCTGATAAAGGTTCTTGAGTTATTAAATGTTTAATGGTACTTATTAGTGCTACTAATTTCTCCAGGATGGCAGGGTTTCAGTCTTTAAATATGATAGTGACAAAGGAAAACATGGCACTGCTCTTTCTAGGCCATTATCAGTGCAACGTGCATTATCCATCCTCGAGATGGAGGTTGAACAAATCAACAAAGGAAAATATGAGCATTACATGCAGAAAGAAATTCATGAACAACCTGAGTCTCTTACAACCACTATGCGAGGAAGGCTTATGCGTGGAGGTTCTTGCAAGGCAAAGACCGTTCTTTTAGGTGGTTTGAAAGATCACTTAAAAACTATTCGGCGTAGTCGACGTATTGTTTTCATTGGCTGTGGTACGAGCTATAATGCAGCTTTGGCTGCAAGACCTATCTTGGAAGAACTTTCAGGTAGTTACCATATGATTTGTTACTTCTTTTAGGGAGTGTGATGCTCCTCTTTTTTTATTGATCTCTTTCCTGATTATTCTGTACAATAACTATAGGTGTGCCAGTTACAATGGAAATTGCTAGTGATCTGGTTGATCGGCAGGGTCCAATTTATAGAGAAGATACTGCAGTTTTTGTTAGTCAATCTGGTGAAACTGCAGACACTTTGCTTGCACTAGCATATGCCCTAGAAAATGGTGCATTATGTGTTGGGATCACGAATACTGTCGGCAGTGCAATAGCCAGGAGAACACATTGTGGAGTTCACATAAATGCTGGTTGTGAGATAGGTGTGGCAAGTACCAAGGTGAGCTCTTTTATACAAACATTGTTTTGTTTATCTTATACTATAGTTTCCTGGTATTCTAACCACCATGTTCAGGCCTACACAAGTCAAATTGTTGTGATGGCAATGCTGGCTCTTGCTATTGGAGATGATACTATGTCTAGTCAATTAAGGCGGGAGGCTATAGTAGATGGTTTATTTGATTTGCCAAGTATGTTTTTGCTGGCTTCTTTGGATGCATCACTGAATATTAAGATCATAATTTGCAATGGGAACTTTTTTTTAAAGATAAAAACAATGGATCAACTTTTAGGAAGTTCTAAAAGATGTTATGTTCTTATAATCTGGCAGATAAAGTTAGAGAGGCACTCAAGCTTGACCAGGAAATGGAAGATTTAGCAAAGCTTTTGATTGCTGAGCAGTCACTTCTTGTATTTGGAAGAGGCTACAACTATGCAACAGCGTTAGAGGGAGCATTAAAAGTGAAAGAGGTTGCTCTGATGCACAGTGAAGGAATACTTGCAGGTGAAATGAAGCACGGTCCTTTGGCACTGGTTGATGAAAATCTTCCAATTATAGTTATTGCTACTCATGATGCTTGCTTCAGGTTAGTTGGATTCCATCATGAAGCTGTCACATCATATTGAAGAATCATTTTGATACTAACATGTGCATATTACCAACAGCAAGCAGCAGTCAGTTATTCAGCAACTTCATGCCCGCAAAGGTCGCTTGATAGTAATATGTTCAAAGGGAGATGCAGCCTTGGTATGTCCCAGTGGATCTTGTAGAGTTATTGAAGTTCCTCAGGTTGAGGATTGTCTCCAACCTGTGGTTAATATTATCCCATTGCAGGTACTTTCATTGCTCTGTTTTTTTCTCTTAAAAAAAAAAAATCTTTATCTAACTTGCCAGCATTTACAATATCCATTATAAAGAATAATGGAAGTGTTGTTAAAAACTTAAAATGTTTGTTAGAGAAAGGAAACACAGGTTGTAAAAACAGATAGAGTTTACGATTTAGCACAAGTTGTGGTGGTTCTTAATGGCTTGAAGCAAACGTTTGGTTAGAAGTGCATGATTCAGAAACCAGAGTTTTTTTTTTTTTAGTACATTAGATGATGGGCTATACAATTGGGATGACTCTCTCTTTCCCTTAATCCCTTCCCACCCGTCTCAAGGTTCGAACTTCACATCTCCAACTTGAAGTCTCAAGTTCTTAACCACTTAAGAACTTGAGACACCTCCTTGAGGGCACAGAAACCAAAGTTTGGATAACTTATTATTATTGGGCTTCATCCTTGCTTGGTTATCCATCTTGAGTTTCTTCGTTTTAGTTCCATTCATTTTTGTTTATCTATTTTGGTGCAGTTATTGGCATATCATCTCACTGTTCTACGTGGATACAATGTTGATCAACCACGAAATCTTGCAAAGAGTGTGACAACTGAATAAGAAAGGTTCATACCTTATAAGAAAGGTTCATTGACTACATTCTCACTAAGAAAACTGAGCATAAGCTGAAAGTGTTTTAATGGTAATCTTTTGGTTTTGCTCCTACCTAAGTTCTTTTGCTGAAATGCCCTCATGCCAAAACTTCTGTTGTAAATTGTTAGAAATGGAGCACCTGCATGTTGGCCAAAAATAAAGAGCACCTGAATGGCTCCACACTCAACTTGATCTGATCTGTTTTTGTTTAGCTGAATGGTTTGTTGAATTCATTGTAACTAATATTTCTTCTCTTTAACTATACCACCAAATATGTGGCATTTGGTTGCCTTCTGGTCTTACTATTGACACTTTCTTCTTCTTTGTAGTGCTTGACTCCTAAGGGAAAGTTTCTCATATTAATTGAACAGTATTCATAGTAGTAGGAGTTTGCTACAAAGCAAAGTTGGCGTGACGTAATGTAGTTCAGTATTCAATATTAATATAACAGTAATGTTTTTGAGCTGGAACTCAAAAAATTAGGAAGGTTGGGCAAAAATCTCAATGCACATTTAATTTGCATCCTTGTTTGTAGTTGTGCTTTGTTGCAGGTAACTGGTGTTGGCATCAGAGAAGAAAATGCTGATATCAAGAGCACCATTTATCCAAGTGCATTGTTTCTCCAAAAGTTGTGTGACATCAAGTCCTGCATCTCTTCCCTTTTTTCTTATGCTCTTATCTTTATCTTCTCTTCTTTCTCCAGATTTGATTGCCAGCAATTGAATTTGCTACCCTAGTTGAGCATGCAGTTTAGGTCCCTGCAACTCTCTTCAAGACAATCTAAAATCACATAATTTAAGCAAGGACGTCTTTGAAAGGTAAGTAGAGAATTTCTTGATCGGTTATGTGTTATGGGAGCGGCGGGCCTTATAAGCCAGTTGGTTTGTGCACCCGTTGCCTTGGCATCAGCCAAGGTTTGAGTCACGGTTTTGCTGTGCTATAAGTCTACAATCCTTTCCCCCTTCAAATTGCCCCCTTAAAAAAAAATAAAAATAAAAATAAAAATAAAAATAAAAAATGAAGATTTTTATATGTTGTTTTATTAGTTCTTTTTTCTTCAAAATTACTCTAGGGTTAAAACCTTAAAAGTTGCAAGTTCAGGGGCCAAAGGTTTTAAACTTTGTAAGGTCAGGAGTTTTCTGTGGATATTGGCCTTGGTTAAGACCCTGACTATGTAACCCTCAACTGCAAACTGACCCCAGGTGATTTATGTTTAGTTCGCCCAATCTTAAATATTATATTATATTAGCATTAGCCCGACCCAGAAACTGCTTATGCACCAATGGGCCCGATCTAGGAATTGCTTTCATGGACCAATAGGCCCATTGAAAATTTTATGGGCCCCATGTCCAATTAGACAGCGGTATATGGCCCAAATTAGGCCTAATATATAAACTGTTTAATGGGCTCAGCTGCGATGTTTTACTTTTATTTCTACCATGGGCTAACGGGCCGAAACTGGAATGTTCCGTGGGCAATCCCGTCAGAAACCCAATTTCAAAATTTTCAAGGCCTAAAACTTATAATGGGCCTGCCAAATCTATGTAACCGAAAATGTTTACTGACCGCCCAGACCAATCTGGAAAATGCATTTTGGCCCAATAAGCCTAATTCAAATCTTGTTTTCTTAGTCACAAAACACAAGCCCAATTTATGTAAAGCCCATAGCAACCCAGCTAACCTAGAAACTATTTACGCACCAATGGGCCGGATCCAGGAATTGCTTTCATGGACCAACAGGCCCATTGCTAATTTTATGGGCCCCATAGCCCAATAGGCAGCAGTTTATGGCCCAAAGTAAGCCCAATATATACTGTTTATTGGGCTCAGCTGTGAAGAGTGTAATTTTACCTTTATCTCGACTATGGGCTAACGGGCTGAAACTAGAATGTTCTGTGAGCAATCCTTTCGGTAGCCCAATTTCAAAATTTTTGAGGCCCAATACTTATAATGGGTCTCCCATCCCAACCCATAAAAGAAAAATGTTTACTGGCCCCCCAGACCAATCAGGAAAATACATTTGGGCCCCATAAGCCCAATTCAGATCTTGTTTTCTTATTACGGAAGACAAGCCCAAATTTTGTAAAGCCCATATGAGCCCAGCATGGCTTTCATTTTCTGGGATAGTCTACACGCAGTTTTTCAATCCAAGAATAACAAATAAGAAAAATATAATACAATAAACAATTAATCAAGGAAGCTCGTAGAGTAATTGTTTAAATTATTCACAATAAAAACAAAAAAAAAAAAAGGCTTCTTCATTTACATGACTAGGGTTCAAACCCTCTTCCCACTTCTTCTGGTTTTCAATCAAACAGCCTGTCCTATAAAAAAAATTAATAATAAGTACCCAAAAAAGGAAAATATACGAATAAACTATGAATCTTGTTGATCCAACATCAATAACCTAGGTAAAAAGACCTGACTAATATTTTTATTTTTATTTTTAAGAAAACCAAATGCATGAGTAATTTCAGTATATGGTAGTACAGTACTCACCATTTTTCTGGAAATACAAAATCCAAAAATTCAAGAAATAAAAAGAAAAGGTAAAAGACAATTGAATGCCCAATTACTTATTTATAACCTTCGTTTAAGAACACTTCTCAATATTTTAGTTATTTTAAAAATATATATATATAATATTAATTAAAATAAATATTAAATATATTTTATGTATTTTAAAGATATTAAAGAACAAAAAAACCTATAACCATAGCTACATGAAGTGTTGTCAAACTAAGCTATAGTCTCAATAAACGACCATAAACTACTTTTAAACAAGTGACCTTTTTATTTTGAAATAAACCCATAAAAATAAAATACAAAACTAGAAACATTGTCAAAAACTTTTAAACATATCTTCTTCTTCATTTTTTTTTTCTTTTTTTGAAATAAATCCACAATAAATGCAAAACTAGAAACACTGTAGAATGATCCTCTTGTATTCTATGATGCTGATTTCCATGAAATAGAAAATCAAACCTCTATTCCCGGATCTTTTGGATTCCAACCCAGCGAGCATAATCTACCCACCTGTGTTAGAGATTATAAAATGGTTTATCCAGAGCAAAGGTTAGAAACTTTAAAGATTGCAGCTATTAAATGCAAAAACAGATATAACAGAGAGCTTGGGATACAGATTGGGATGCTTACATCAAAGACCCCAAGAATGTATTGCCAGTTCGAACAGCAAAACTGGTCACTCCAAGTACAAGTTTTTGTTGATGAAGCATTGGCTCCAGAATCCGTTGCTCAATAATTCCTGCAAGTACTTGATACCTATTTCCAAATTTTAGTATATCAAAATTCCATAAAATGCAAAAAGCAAGCAGACTGAAACAGACTATAGCTCATATTAACCAATTCTCAAGTGGTATTGCAGTTCCCATTTGAATGACAAAATATTGGCATCTATCAAGGCAGAATTATAAAAAAGAAGAAATGTTAAATGAAAGGGCTGCCGTGCATTCCTACAATTCCAGGAATGAATTGTGGATGAAGAGAAGATGTGATAATATCGATATTACTTCCAGAAATAAATAATAAGCTACAAGCTATATTGATCACCTGAGGTTGCTAGAGACAGCCATGTAAACACCATAAGCAATACTTGTTGACAATATAGGTACATCCTCTGCTTCACCAGCAAAAGATTTATCAACTGCCTTTCGTAGATTAATCAATGCATTCGTTATACCTACACCAATCTGAAGAGGGTTCCAATCAA